CTCTCTCTCTCTCTCTCTCTCTCTCTCTCTCTCTCTCTCTCTATATATATATATATATATATATATATATATATATATATATATACATACATATACTTAATAATATACTTACAAAAATAATATAAATTCACTTCGTTTTGTTAGTTTTAATTTAATTAATCATTTAATATATAGTTCAACTTTGATATAATACAAGTGACGAGATTTTAAGTGATATAATTGAAGAACGTGTGAGAAACGATTTAGAGGCTAATTTTTTTATTTTTTAAATATAATATTTTTTTATGTTTCTTGTATCACAAACAAAAACAAGACTATGTTTATGTTTCGTGGTGCAAATTTGATTTCTTCTTTTGACTTCTCTCTCTATGTGTAAGTTACATCTACGTTAATTTATCTTTCATTTTATTTTAATACCAATTTTTTGTTAACCCTCCCTCCTCGATAAAGCGCACTTCTAGTGGGGACGATTGTCGCAGCCGACATCCAATGAGAAATTACGTGAAGAGGCTTCAAACGAGCCATAACGAGCTCGGCTATGAGCGACCCGCTTACATCGCGGCTATCGCGTTTACACCGCGTCATTACACGTCGAATTATACGCGGTTCTCTCGCCGGGACATATCCGCCAGGTCGTCGAGAAGCCACGGTCCGTGACCGCCGTTTCCTGCGTCCGGTGTCGTTTCTCCCTAACTAACGTGGGGTGTTCCGCGCTGGAAATGCTGTGCTGCGTTTGTACGTGCATACTGCTCTTGCAGCTGTGCGCTGCAACGAACTGACCAAGTCTCTGATCCCAGTTGTGCCGCATGATGTCTCATTATCGTTGACTTCGCCAGTTTTATCTCGTATTGTCACATAATCTCACTCTTCCAAACACATCTGTTGCATTTATAAAAATATCTTCGAGTGCCTTTTATCTAACATTTATTTATCTAATCATCCAGGAAGGCCCTTTTTGCTGAAGATAGTCCAAAGTGTAATCAAAACGTTCGTCTGAGTGACATTGTAATTTTAGTTATTATACACTAAGAGAGTAAAATATTTGAAAATTTATTTGCGATATAAAGTTCCTCGATATATAACCTTTATATCCCATAAATACATTTTCAAATATTTTTTCTCAGCGTAACATGTATGTGTATAATTGGACTTTCAATAAAGATCAGCTGTAAGACCAGCGGTTCTTGTTTGTCTGTTCTCTTCTCATCTTCTTGTTTATTTACTTATTTCAAAAATCGATAACGGCTTCGTTGAGGTCACATTTGGATTTCGACGTCGAAAATTGAACTCACGCTCGACTATATCACTTCCTGACTTATTTATTCAATTATCAATTTCTTTAACATTTAAACACTCCCAGTCGACATTTTTGCTTTATTTCACGAGGAGGAGGTTATTGTCGGGACCTCGTGATCCACCAAATCGTTTCTCTTTAAGCACCCTCTCCAGCTTCTCGACGACATGCTCACCTCTTCCGCGGGCAGGTCGTAGCACTCAGCGATCTTCTGATACAGCTCGCGGACGTTGCTGAAGTCCGATATCAAACCCATGGGACTGCCGTGAGCCAGTTGGCAGTGGAAGACCAGCGACGATTTCGGGGGTCTGGACCCTCTCATCACATCGTCGTACTCGGGTGGGGCAATTGGCGAAATAGTCGATCGTGCCGCGCTATTGCTTGGCCGATTACCGGTACCGTTACTGCTCGCACCGTCATGATTATTGTCACCGACCTGGTGATGATGATGGTTCCGATACTGCTGTTGCTGATACTGCTGCTGCTGCTGCTGTTGCTGCTGCTGTTGTACGCCGTTCGCAGCTTTCTCCGTTATCGGCGATCTCGGCGTGGCCCGCGGCTTGAACAGCGGCATTCTCGGTCCTGCGTGAATAAATCATAGGTAGGCTCCGTTAGCAGTGATGGGACAACGTTCTCATTATGAAGCTTAGCTTCGAGACTCGACAGATTGAGAAGGCAAGCGAGTTTCTTTTAATCTTCTACGATTCTACATCGAAGCAAAAACAGATAGCATGAATCTACAAGACGCTTTTTCAGAGACGTCTAAAAGACATCTTACTTACTATTTTATATGCTTTTCAGATGCTTGTAAGATATCTTTGCGTTGTCTGCTGAAAGTCGCGAACATACTTGAATTGTATTTTTTTTTTAAACGTATCCTGTGTGTATGTGATGGAATAATTCTGAGATCCTTATAAAGATCCTTGCAAAGACCCTTACAAAATATTTTAATCGAAATTCGTTGTTACATTTAACGACAGTATTAACGCTGAATTTATGACGAGGTATTTAATATTAGGTCTTTTTCTTCATTCTTTAAATTATTATAGTTTAAATCATTATAGTTTAAAGAATGAGCGCGAGGACGACGACGTTAAGAAATGCTCAGACCCGATCGCTTCTCCGAGATGCAAGTTAAACGATTGTTTTGTTGCGTTGTTGCTCACCGACTGAGATATCTCGCAGCAGATAGGACGGGACACGTAACAGAGGACAATAGCCACGTATCGCAGGAAAAGAATTAAATCAGTGCTTGTTGAATGACAACACACGACCAATAATCGGACCGCAGTATTGACGTTAGATAAGTCGAGTGAGAACCACGGCAAGGAGAGGCACGCGGCGGTAATTGCAATCTCGCGATTCGCCGATGGTGCGCGGCGCGAGAGAAAATAAAAGTATCTGCCGGCCACATGTTACACCGGGTGCAACTTCAGTCTTCGTAGAATACGTAGCCGTAGAATCCGCCACGGGTAGAGCACATATCGCGCGACTCCTCGCATACTTACTTCACCAGGTATATGCTTATTTTTGCAACATCTTGCAAAATCAACGTCTCGCGGCCGAGACGAGCGTGCGAAACGCGACTGCGCTCACGGAATGACACGTTTTCAGTTACGCGAAATCTTTTTATCTCCTCCTGCTCCTCCTCCTAATCGCGCACCTTCCCGTACTGCAACGTCTCGTTCTTGCACTCCGAGAATTGCGTGCCTCAAACGAAAACGGCGTTTACGTAACTTTGCCTTAAACAAAGCCATGCTCTATCTTCCTCGACACCGGCTGACAACGTCCCGTTTGCCACGCGATCATGTCGAGGTCGTAAATCGTGTCCAAGTCGCTTTATACGCGACACTTAGCGTTTCAACCGCCCGCCTGGCTCCTTTCGTTTTAGATGAGAAATAATGCCGATTTAATATTCCGTGTACAAGATGTTCAACTCTTCCCGTCGTGGCGACTTCGAGTCTAGTTCTTTCAGTCGAAAAATCTGCGGAGTGCGACTTTCTTATATTGTTCTTTAAATTGCAGGCCCGTATTAATTGTTGTCACTTGAAACTTGTCTCATATAAGATACATAGATTTTTATCCAGAGTTAGATTCAAGTTTTTTATTTGAATTTTATACTAAGAAAAAGTACTTGATAATTTCTTTATATAGGATATTTATTTATATAGGATATAAAATGTATTTCTCTGAATAAACTTTGTATTTCATAAATAAATTTTCAGTGTAGAATAAGAAAAATATGAAAAGTTCATTTCATAGAAATAAACATATCTCATAAATAAGTTTTCAAGTATTCTTTTCTCAGTATATATGCAACACTCATATTTCCAAACACGATTTAACTGAAAAACTTTAATCCACTTCTGAATTCAAATCTGATTATTTCATTTGAGACGAGTTTCGAATAATGACACAGGTCTCAAAAACAATTAGCCAAAATATTTTTTTATTTCCTTGAATTGAAATATTTAGTTTTACTCAAAATTCTTTATATATTATGCAAATTTGGAACTCTGAATATTCTGTGATTGGAGGTGAATCTAAGGATACGTTCCGTAGTGATCTCGAAGTCATGATCGCACACGACGAACTGCAATCGTGAATTCTGATCTAAGATCACATCAGAGGATTCTAAAATTCCAAGTAGATAAGCGATACCGCCGATGGTCAATTTCAATACCTGACATATCGCGTCATATTTTTGAGATTCGCGATTTTATTAGTATAAAATATTTTCACGAAAAGTTGCCACGAGACGCACGTCACAAACCGTTTACCATCAGACGCTTCTCTTTCAGGGAAACATCACTTCTGCCGATTCACGTTGTGCAATATCGTACACGGATACACGGTCAGAAAATGTGACGCAAAGCCGTGTGCGATATCATTATTCACGTTAAATTTTCATCCAATGTGATTCGACATTTATACAGATTGTTTCTCAAAAATGCCGCGTCACATTGCAATTGCGAACGCTAGAAAGCGAATAAATCGTCTTCTGCGTCAGTATGACTTTTGCGAGTCTACACCCGAATTTACGAATTATATGTTTGATTTTTTCACCTTGGTGCAAGGTATTCTGTATATGTCTAACACTACACTCTACCGGGAGAGTAGTACATTAAAAAAAAATACTTAAAAATTTATTTGTGGGATATAAAGTTTATTTCTATGAAATAAATTTTTATTATATCTCCCACAAAGAAATTTTCCAGTATTTTTTTCTCATTGTCAGAGTGTTATTACATTGAAAGGAACAATATTTAAGAAATAAAAAAATATTTATATTCCGTGAGTATCAATAATATATTCACTTATATTGATGTAAAATATTGCTCAAATAAGAAAATATACATTTTCTTAAAATCTTAGCTTTTTACAAAAGCGATTGTTTTTTCTGTTAAAATAAAAGAATTTTGATTTTTAGTAAACATGTTATTGATACACAAAATAAATATTTTTATTTTTTAAGTACCTTTCCTCTCAAAGTAGACACACGGAGAGTGGCTTTTTCACCAGGAACTCTTTCGCCAAGGCATCGTGTAAACTGCTGTTTGCACAGGAATCACGATGGACACACGATTAAGTATCTCGTGTGTGCGTCACCAATATTTTTATCTTGCAAATCAGCGAAATGTCAAAACTAAAACACGCGAATGATAACAGAGGTGTTGATTACACACAACGTGGGCAGTTAGATGGTCAGTGTGGGTGAGCGAACAGCGCAGGTGGTTTCGGTTTGCAGGTCGTTGGCATCGCCTCGCAACTCCTGACTAAGCTGTTATGAATTTCGTAAACACCGTTCTCCTCGGCCCGTGGCGAGTCGGCTCACCAGATTAAATGCAAATTACCGGTGACGCGTAACAATTCCGTGGTTCCGATCGTTCATCACGATTGAGGATTAAACAATTGCAAATCTAAATCATACAACGAGCTAGTGACTCAAGTAATGTTAGATATTAACTGTATAAAATTATTTTTGACTAAAATACATATTTTCCTTAACTAAAATAAACTATAAATAATTTGACTTTCTTCGACTAAAATAAAGTAAAATAATTCTTCGATTAAAATAAACCAATTCTTTTTAAATTCGACTTGCTTTCCTAATTTTTTCAAATTTGACTTTCTTTAACTAAAATAAACTAAAATAACCTGATTATCTTTGACCAAAATAAATTTAAATAATTTGATCTTTCTTCGATTAAAATAAAACAACTCTTAAATTTGACTAGCTTTTTTAATTCTTCTCTAAATTTGACTTTTTCTTTGATTAAAATAAACTAAAATAATTTAACTGAAACCAAAAAATGAACGGTAAATCAATAATCAAATTTGACGAATTACTATATATAGGGTGGCGCGAGTGAAAGGAATATTCAACGTGTACGGGAAAGTGTCGAGGAGAACCCACAAACATTTCTTTACTTCGAGCAATGCGTGATCTTCCGGCTCTTGGCAGATCCCCTACTGAACCCTGCTGCTGAAACCATTCCAACAATCGTCTAATCATGGAAAGGGAAGGCAGATTTCTTATATTGAAATAGTGGCAATAGTCTCATTGTGTCTGTATTATCGAATGTTGATTTTGAAAGTAAAATTCTATTATTTTTGTTCGCTGGGCAATCGTGTATCTTTCCATAATTATTTTCCCTTATCTCCTTTATAAGATCTGAAAAGAAAAAGGAAAAGAAAAATTTAACAAGTTATGAATTTTTAAAACTAGTTCGTTTTTTTGTGCCACCCTATATAAAATTTTATTATTAATTGACGAATTAAAAAATTATTAATCAATGTATAATCAATCACAAAAATTCGATTAATAATTAATTTCATAAATCAATAAAATTATTTGTAATTTCCTATATGACGATTGATTAAATTTGGTTATTGATTTGTCGATTACTTTAGTCAAAGAAAATTCTTATAGATTAATATCCAACATTGAACTCAAATCACCGGTCGCATTGAGAAACAACTTTCTCGAATCTCGATTTCGAAAGCACGAAATTTTTTTTCCTTTGTATGTATATCATTTGATGAGATAAAGAAGTTTTCTCTTAAAAATATCGCCTCGTTTGCTTTCTTCTAGCTCGTTAACACATTTGTTCTTTCTTCTCGCCTCCGATGACTAACTAAACGCGGCAACACAATCAATTATTTTCTTTGAAGAAAATGTCGAAGGAGACGTCGCGCAACTGATACCTGCCGTTTTCCATGTCTTTGACATTTGACATTTATGTTCGACAGCATTGGCGAGAAACGGCTCTCTCCCAAACCTGATTGTTCAATCATCCGGTCAAAAAATATAGCTTACAATTAGCGGCCTGTTCTACCTTCATTAGCCGTAACGGCGAGAGAATAAAATTCTTTGGAAAATAACTTCATTAGAACCGAACTCAGTATATAATTATATGCGTATATACAACGCGTTTGACTCCTCATTTTGCATGTTATAGGATCACGATATGAGAAAACGTAATAACTGGGCGCGAGCATTGAAGTATAACGCAGTGAAAGTAGCGAGACGTTTTTAACGTTAAGAGAATTGCTTCAATTAAATAAAGCAATCCCCTACTTAAATTCCATTTTTAATCACCGATTTGAACGCTATTACGATATTATTCCCTCGTTATTGTATTATCATATTATTATTTTATCTCACATTATTCTATTATTACATTATGCTCTTCCTTTTACATATGCTACATATTTTACTATTACTATCGCGTATTCGTAACAGCTCTGTTAAAGATTCGCGATTCGCCATAAAGATAGTGAGCGTGAAACACAGCAAGTGTTCCACAACAAATGAAACATGACACCTTTAATGAATTGCGCAAGCAGCCCGTCTGGTGTACCTTGAAGACAATTAAAACCGATATCGCGATTACAACACCGAACAAAAATGCGCGGTAGCATTAGAGATACGAGTTTATCAAATACAGAGTACACCAGAAAAATGGCGACGGGTCGCTGATAATAAATGGCCACTCGCTTAAAATTATAAGAATTAAACTTTATTTCTTGATCTGTAATTATTTCATTTCTGTCGATTCGCCGCTATCTTATCTCTACTTCTGGTTTTTGTGTATATCGCGTACGTTCGAAATATTATATTCACAAAAGTATAATCTTATCCTTAAATCTTCTTGCATATGGCCTTAAGAGGATTCTTCTAAAATTAAAAGGCAAATATTCTAGGCATAATGTTATGACTTTTTTCATCAAAAGAAATTTAATAATCTCTTTCTTAAGAAAGTTATTCTTAATAGAATTCTTAATAAAACACACTTTACTTTCAATAAAAGCTTTTACTTAGAATATAGAATTGAAGAAAATAGCATCTTGCAGGTAGAATTCTTTCTTTTTTTCAATGTTAGAATACCTTTCTTTTGGTTTTAGAAGAATTCTCTCTTGGGAATTCTTTATAAGAGGAATTAGTTAAAAATAAGGTTATATTTTTTTGGACGTGTATGCTTATCATATTTTTGCATTCGGAGATATCAAGTTTCCGTTTCAGATATGCGCTTATATTGAAAGACATAATATGATCTGAAAAATATTCTTTAATCATCTCTCGGAAGATTATCTATTGTTATATTGTTGGAATATAAAATTGTGAGCCGGAATAAGTTGAGAAATCTCTCCCCCTCTCTTTTTCTGTCTCTCTTTCTCCCTTTTATTAACTGTAAACGATCCTTGCACTAAATAAAAAATTAACAAGCAAGAAATGCTGAATATTCCTAGTTAATTCTACAAAATTGAGAGACTTAGCAGTAGTTTTCGAGACACCCTGTACCATGACGGTGGTACACGTCGATACCGTAATGTTACGAGCGCGTACACGCTGGCATACGCGTATGTGTACAAGGCAACGCGCGGAACAACGAGAAGATACGGCCTCTCACCTCTTCCCGTCGCGATCGACACGCACCTGTCCGTGTCCGTATCCGTATCCGTGCTCGCGTGGCTTTTTCATAGACACGAAAACGCGTCGTTCGGTGATCGGCCGCGACATTCGCTGTCAAAACTGACTGGCGCTCAGATTCATCAGGATCTCCTTCTTCCTTTTTCTTACTTTTAACTCTTTATTTCACCCGCCCGTTATCGCGCCACTTATCACTTCGCCCGTTTCTTATCGTCGCCCGTCGCGGATCCGTGCGCGCGCGAGAGCCATATCGCTCGACGATCATCACGTCGTGGATCAGGGCCGGCTCTAGATCGTAAGTCATTCCGGTGTGGATCGCGATCATTGTGTGAAGATTACGAGGATAGAAAAAGAGATCGATGTAAATTAAAATTAAAATCACGAAAGCTGCGACTCTCCTTGCAATCTTCCAAATCGGGAATTGACTTGAAATCGTGTTATTGAATTACTCTTTCGGTTCCCGTTCGTCTAATTCAAATTAGTACAATCTATAAATTATTACAATGTGTGAAATAGTTAAGTTTGATTCAAATTGTAAATTATGAAGAAAATTGATTTTTTTTATCGAAATCACAGTATAATGCCGCTTTATGTCAATCTGCAATTTGCATAACCGCGCGAATTTACTGTAAAAGTAAAGAGTTTTAAAAAATATCATTTTGATTTTAGCTTTTTGCGCTTTATTATACTGAAAAAAATATTTAAGAAATAAAGAATATTTATTCGATGGATACTAATAACGTATTTATTTATACAAGAATAAAAAATGTTTTCCAAATAAAAATATATTTTTAAATATATTTTCTTAAAAAATCTTAAATTTTCTTAAAACAACTGTTTATATAAGAGATTCAGATATGTTATATTAGTACTCTCTGAATAAATATTTTTTATTTTTTAATATTTTTCCTCTCAGAGTGTAGAGAGTCTGACAATTGTGGAACGCGATAATACGGTCCACTGCCCGGACACTTGTGAACGCAAGATTCGCACCTAATACAAGTCAAAACGACCTTCTTTCCGCTTCATATTCATTTCAGCTACATTACCGAGTGGAATATCAGCATGTTAATCCTGAAAATGCAATGAGTAATCCGGTGATCCTTTTCATAACTGATTTGCTTTTTGCCAAGATTCTCATCGCGCGCCGTTACCATTTGAATGTAGTAGTCGCGTTTTTTATCTCATATTTTGACGCAGCACACGAACCTGGTAGCTCTTTTATAATCAAGTGCTTCACAGAGAAGTTCATTACTTAATCACCACTCCGATACTCCCGCACTCAACTGTAAATGGTCCGCCCATTAACCGCGTTGCTTTTAATGAAGCTATTCTCTTTTTATTTCTCAAGCTACGTTCTCAGAAACATTTTGGGCACAATTGAACGAAAGCCATTTATTATTATCTTACGAACACAATTATTATAAAGAACATATTAATTTTCAACGATGTTTTTATTGTTCATTAAGAGAGAGAGAGAAAGAAAGTAGAGGAAAAAAGTGTTAAAATCTAGTTTTGATTATCAACCTACTTTTGATTATGCTCGAATAATTATATGAATTGAATAATCCCGTGAGACATATTTCTCTCTAAAATGAGCAAATCGATTACTTTGTAAATTTGCATTGTACCTTAAGATTTCCTTGCTCGCATATTTACAGAGCCAATCTATGGTACCCGGAAAAGTAAACGAGAAAGTTTGCGAAAACTGGTTAACGGAGATCTTCTTTAACGTGATCTGGGCTGAGAATGGATTGAATGGGCCCACTGCCACGATGTGACGCGCGACAAGACGTTTCCGCTAATTCTCTTAACACCAATGTCTTCCGCAGATGCGAATAACAGCACATTAGAACTGGAGAAAATCACGCACCGATCTCGCGAACTCGCGTGCACTCGCGTCCAGAAAGCAGCGGCACGGAGACTGATCGCGTACAATCGTATCAGATAGAAGGATTTTTCCCACCACGAATAGGGGGGAGAATCGTCCCCACTACATATGCAGCGGTCCATATAACCTCACCACAGATCCACTATATGTCTATATAATATTATACTTTTTGAAAGTTATAAAAAAATTGACTTATTAAGTAGGCCTAATAAAAAAATTTTTAAGATTGCTTTCCTCAGTCATAGAAACTAGGTAATGGATCGTAACATTCACGAAAATAATACTAATAATATAGTTTTCGAGAATTATATTCTTCGTTAAAGAAAATTATTGTTCATCAAAAATAACGCGCCTAAAACTTTTTGCTGACAATTCTGATTTAAAAGTTCTGGTTTAAAAATGGATTTGCACTCTTATGACGCCAAATTTATGCATTTACCACGGGTCGAATAGGCGAAATGTCTAGACCTAGTACACCTTTTGTACACCCTTTACCACCGTAGTCTAAATAAGAAGAAAATAGTCCGTCGTATTTATTATTGAGTTGTACTACTACTTCGTTTTTTTTTTTTATTAAGAATAAAGGGTGTACAAAAAAGTGTACGGGTCTAGGTGCTAAGCCTATCCGACCCTTTATGTACTACTACCTCGTTAAGGAAAGTAACACCTCGTAGCGGAAACTTTTGAACTAACTTGCGCGTCGCTCACGCGAATAACGGGTCTTATGGTTCTTGCAGGCCAGCGCGATGTACAACGCGACATGCGACGTATGATTCCAATGAGCGTAGCTTAACTTTTTTGGAATGGCAGTAAGACGATTGAATACCAAGCGTCGTATATCGCATGTCACGTCGCACTGGGGTACTATTCCGTACACGCTTACCGACAACTGTCAAATCGGTAGGGTGCGATTACATGAGCGTACGGAAATAGGGAAATGCGGAAATACGGAAGACAAAGTTACTAGGACTTAACTAGATTTACGCATTTCCGCGCTTTTGTTCCGTAGCTTTATTTCTCCTAAATATTACATGGAGCATTTTATACGGAAAAGCAGAACGAGGAATTATAAAACATTAATTGTAAACGATATTTATTGATTAAAATGTTTTTATTAAACGGATAAGTTGAAAAAAGAAGCGTATTAATAAAAATTGCAATGAATGAAGTAAATATAATTTTTTAAAATGTATACAAATATTTACTTATCACTATACCGTCCCGCATTTCCGCAAAAATTGTGCTCCATGTAATATTTAGGACAACCAAATCAACGAAACGCGCTTACTGCGTTATATATACTCCTTGTGTGAGCGCATACACAAATCTGTGAAAGAAGATTTAAAAGTTGTAAAGTTTGGCTTATTACGTTTGATTGCCACGTTTTTGCTTGCTGCAAATATGATTTTAAATTATATGTTAATGGCTATGATCACACTGCTAATACGAGCATGAAAGCAACTAAAGAGGTATACGGAAATAACGATGAAAAAAATGACAAAATTATTTTATATCTACAATTGTTACAAAAAATTAGAAGACAGACGAAATCGCAGAATGTAGGTAAGACCCATATTTTCTGAACAACGATGATTGTTACAAGGAGTCAGTGATAATTTAATCGTTGAAATGCTATTGTCTGACAACGAAAAATATTTTAACTATCTGCGGGTGTCACCAACAATGTTCGATGAATTACTGACAATCGTTGGATTTCACATCGAAAAACAGAGAATAGTTCGTAATAAGTGCTCGAATAAGATTGCAGGTGACTTTACGATGGATACTTGGCTTCGGGTGACAATATGGTATCACTATCTTATGCTTTTTGCTTGTTCCATATTTCCGCATAAAATCCGCGGAAAAGCAGAGCAAAACCGCACGGATCCCATTTAGTTACTAGTTACTTATCCGACAGTTGTCGGTAAGCGTGTACGGAATAGTATCCCAGTGCTGGAATTCTATAACTCGTTATTGGTGTTAACGACAGTTTCGTTATCGTTGCGCAGCTTTTCTACGATATACAAAAGCTGTGCAACGATAACGAAACTGTCGTTAACTCCAATTACGAGTTACAGAAGGGTGTATATCAGTTGGACACGGGACAATTGGACACAGTCCAATCACAAGTCGCTGTTCCAAGGGACCCTACAAATGTCTCTAATCACACGGTGCTGTGATTGGCTGTGTCCAAATGCACCGTGTCCAAGTGCACCGCTCCCGTTACAGAATAAGGCTACAGTAGCCATATTCTGTAACTCGTTATTAGAGTTAACGACAGTTTCGTTATCGTTGCGCAGCTTTTGTATACCGTAGAAAAACTGCGCAACGATAACGAAACTGTCGTTAACTCCAATAACAAGTTTCAGAAACCCTGGGCTGCGAGAGCCATAAGACACGTTATTCGCGCGAGCGATGCGCTGGTTAGTTCAAAAGTTTCCGCTACGAGACGCTACTTTCTTTAATGGAGAATCGAGACCGTAATCTCTCTTAGGGCGCCGCACACGAATTGACATAACAGAAATGTAAGACGTATCGTAAAAATAGACCAATTACAATCGAGCATTCACAAAAATGGCGACCTTACGGTTCGACGATACTCAAAGTGATTGGTCAATTCTTATGGATCCTGCACACAGGACGCGGTAATGCTTGCCGCGTCCTGTGGGCAGGAGCCATAAATGCGAGTCGGCCGATCCAGTCAGTCGGCGCCTCACTATGGGTGCTTTCCAATTGCTTAACACATCTTGACACACACGTACATAAAACCAGTTTATTGGTCACATATTATCTTAAACATCTTATATGCAACCAATAAACTGTGTAACACAGTGTACGCAACTGGAAAGCACCTTATGATTGGTCCATTGAGAGTCGGCAGTCGTAGTCGGCAGTCGGGTCGGCCTGTGCAGTCAGTAGTCTGTTATGGGCTTTAGGGTCTCCATACACAACTTGACATACATGCAGTTGTCATTTCATGTGTGAGGGCCCTAAGGGCCTTCACATACAAATTGACATAACAGTAACGTAACTGCTTAGACCCAGTACACCTTTTGTACATCCTTTACCACTCAATAAAAAAAAAAAAAAAAACGAGACTATAGTACGACTCAATAATACATCGGACTTCCTTTTTCAAATAGTGTAACTCAATAACAGATCATACATATTTTCATTCTTTGACATCACGGTCGCACAGCGGCTTATTGAAACATTAATAATAAATGTATAATTTTTTATATATACCTTTTCTCAAATACGATGAAATAAATATTGGCTACTTTTTTATTGTTTTTATTTTATATTTTTGTTTAGATAATACGCAATATAGCCGATAATACAATTTGTATCTTTTGAAAATCTGCAGAAGTTATAGTGCAGATCTCTTGCGAAGAGTCGTGAGATAGGCAAAAGCATTCGACGTATCCTGACCAATATTATGATATCTTGACTACTGATCATGGTTTCATATTTATATTAATAGCATCTTTATTTTTATAAGCCTTGTACAATATTTTATAATAAAGTATCACAAATAGTTTCTCCAACAATTGGATAATGAAACAATATAAATCGCGCAAATCGTAAGAAATACTGCGCAAAAATTTGAACACTCGCAAAAATTCAAGTGATTGTATATAACGCTACAATAATACGTATTTTGTAATTAATTTGTAATCAATTTTATCTATAATTATCTTATTTAAAGTTGAATCGTTCACTTTGAAAACGTTGCAAACCCAGTTATATATTTTAGCGAATATAAGTAAAAATCTGTTTTGTTACTTTGATCTTGAACTGGACGTGCATCAGTTTTAAAGTAGCGTCGCATGTCTTTTATTTCGCGACCAGAGCCTATCTGGTTTCTAGAAAAACAGACAATTTAATATTATCTGCAATCAACATGGTGATCTTATTTCTTAGCTTTCAGCTATTGTTATTCTTCATTACTAAAATGTGGTCCTGAAAACTTTTTGATATCTCGTCTGTGATTCGCAAATTTCACAGATAGACTCTAATCGACGTACTTCCTTGTTGGGCCTATAAGCCAAGTATTGTCGAGATTCGGATAAAAATGTATAACAACATATTCGCCGCATCGCTTCTTGTATAAACAGTAACAACATAGCGCACTTGTTAACAAAAAAACTCAAATGCACCATAGAAAAGGTTCAGTCTATAATATGAAATTCACATATGAAGTCAACACGGATTGCACTCTGAGATTTACAATCGACTGCGAGGATCTCGCAAAATTCGAACTCCGACTTAAAATACGTATATATGTATGTATGTATGTATGTATGTATGTATGTATGTATGTATGTATCTATGGATGTATGTATGTATGTATGTATGTATGTT